GACATACTACATGCCTCATACTGTTTTCTGCATACTATATAATATATTAGTATTCGATTCTGAATGCAGCATTTGTGTTTGTGGTTAGTGGAACATGCCCATAGATAATGTTATTCTCTACATCTGTGGTTCCTCTGCTAGGACACCTGTGTGAATTTGAGGAGTTCATATATCCACTACATATTCTACTACACTTCAAGTGAAGTTAACCTGTGGCAAATTCAATCGAATGGGTATGATTTGGAATGGCACACACGTCTTAATAAATGTCTAACAGCTGATAATGCATATCAGAGCAAAAATCAAGCCCTGGGGTCAAAAGAACTGCCTGTAGAGCTCAGAAACAGGTTTTGTGTCAAGCCACACATCTGTGGAAGAGTTCAGAAAAAAATTCTGCTTCATTGAAGGGTCACAGAAGCATGTAGTCTCTGTTAACCTTAATGGAAGAAGTTTGAAACAACCAGGACTCCTAGCCAAACTGAGCAATTGATGGAGAAGGGCTTTGGTTAGCATGGTGACCAAGAACCTGATAGTCACTCTAGTTGAGCTTCATGATCATATGTGGAGATAGGAGAAACCTACAGATGGACAAACATCACTTCAACACTCCACCAATCTGGGCTTTATGGCAGTACTGAATCCTCTCTTCAGTTAAGACACATTGGAATTGGCAAAAAAGCACCTAAAGGACCCTCAGACTCTGAAAAACAAGATTCTCTGTTCTGATGAACCTCAATTCCAAGCTTCATATTTTAGACAACTCTGTGAATGTCCTTGAGTGGCCCAGCCAGAGCCTGGGCTTGAACCCAATCAAATATTTCTGGAGAAACCTGAAAATGTGCATCGGCCCCCATCCAACCTGACAGAGCTTGAGAGGTGAAGAGATGAGGAGAAGAATGGCAGATAATTGCCAAATGCTGATGTGCAAAGCTTGTCGCATCAAACAAAAAAATACTTGAGACTGAAAAGGCTAAAAGCGAAATATTTAGTTAAGTTTAGTTTAGTTTACATATGCAATGTACTTATTGCAGTTTTTTTTCCTAATTTGTGACTATTCTGTTTTTTCTTTACCATTATGGTGTATGGAGTGTAGACAGGTGTGGAAAAAAAGTAATTTAAAGCAGTTTAACATAAGGCAGCAACATAATAAAATGTGAAAGAAATGAATACTTTTGCAAGGCACTGTATGATCATAGTGAAGAAAAGCTATGTTTCTGTATTTAGAGCTCTGTTTCTTGAGTCAAAGAGATGAACCAATATGATCAAATGCTTGTTTGGTGTCTCACCCGTATCACTCTGAGTAGAGTGCAGGCCGCCCGCAGAGTATTTTCCCCATCAGTGACTTCTCAGTCTACAGCTGGCGTTCTTTATCCACTCTGTTTCTTTGAATTTCAATTTAGCCTGAGCTCATTTGAAATTTGCAAAGGTTCAAGAAGTTTGTTTGCCTTGAAGCTCTGCCTCCTCTCATCCTCGCTTCCTCTTTCTGTCACTGTCATCAACACATAGAATCCTCAAAGAAATGTTTCTTTGAGTTAATCTCACGAAAACATGTCTGAGTCACGTTTATAATAATAATTCTAATAATAATAATAATAATTATTAATATATATATATATATATATATATATATATATATACACACATTGTAAAGCAACATAATTTCTTATTTCATTCTTTTGATTTTTGAAATATGTCAAGGAAATTTCCATTTCTTGTAGTTCTTGGTGTCTGTGCTTTATATAATTTGCATATTAACTAAAAATGCTTCATTGGAAATCATTTTAGTTTTTATATAACATTCATCAACCTCAGAACCATAATACTGAGTCTGCCTTTTTAGCCAACAAGACTTCAAATTTAATTAAAGCATGAAAGAGCGGGTGGCCAATCCCCTTACTGACACAGAGGCAGGGCTTTGAAGACTCTTGTGCGCTAATGAAACTCTGCCAGACCTGATGTGATTAGTGGGTGTGCTGCTGGCTTTAATTGAATTGTTGACCCCACCCATCCTTGTGTGCAGGTATAAAGTAATTGAGGAGCTTGATCTTGAGGTCAAAGGGCGCAGCAGGCTCTAAGAGTCAGACGCTGTCCCTAAGGGCTTATGACGGATGACGCCGAGCTGTTACATTGTTTACCGTCTGTACGGTGCAGTGAGCTCATCGTAGACCCTGACTAATCAGCCGGATTAGAAAGAAGCAACATAACAACCAATGCAATCCATTAGTGTGCGTAAACCCAATTGACATGGTAGTAGGAGTACAAGGAAATGCTTTCATACTGCAAGCTGTAATAACTAAATGCTATGAAAATTAATTCAATCAATTCAATATAAACAAAAACTCTGTTTTATAGCCCATACTGCTAAATACAATGTCTCAGAAGCCTTTGTCTAGTCATATCATTGCATTAAAAGACATGCATATGCACAGTCAATGCAATCACATCTCGCGTTACACTGCGCTCTGACTGTTTGTGAAGTTTGGCTTGCATGTTCTCCAACAGCTACATTTCCTTTCTACAACTTTCACTCAATTATTGTTTTTGGGGTTTCTTGGTACTTGTGTTGTTGACAATGACAACATTGAAGCTAATCCAAATAAGGGTGACTAAAATAGATGACAGTTGGAATAGGATATGTCAGGATTGCACGGCAATGTACAGTGCAAGAAAGATTCACTGAACGACAGGTTGTGCACTGTAAATGAGACCGTAATGCTCTAGGTTATGCATTGATTTTGATGCATAGCATAATTTTGCTTAAACGTCATAGAGCTGAAGGATAGAATAAATGAGATTTCCTAGATAGTATCTTGATGAATGTTTTTATAAAAACATCCACAATAACGGCATTCTTGTCATGTCCCATTAACTGAACACTGTTACTGGCATTTACTTGACCGAGTTTGAGTTTGCTTTCTGTTCTTTATATTGTTGTGGCATTTACATATTTAGATATTCACTTATTTTTGAGCAAAGCGGCGAGGATGTTTATTTCATTATTTCGAGCTGGCATATTTGTCTGTGCATCAGCCCACTCAGGGGAACTGAGCTGCTGGGAGATTCAGATGAGCCATTCAGTGTTTCGTTTTCCGGTGCCTTATCTCTTTCCCATGCGGAAGCCATGGATAAAAGATTTATGTCCTATAGGGCCCAAGCCATCGGCCCCCTTCTTTATTTTGGTTGTTTTTCCCTTAAAACCAAAGGAAGGAAATCATTTTTATTGGATGAAGTATTAAAAATCAATCTGTAATATCACAGCTCACTGCCAAAAATAGTATATATTGTACCAATCTGAAATGCTTGAGAGGCTGTAAATTTCTGCCTGTTTTGAAATGCTTGAGAGGCTGTTAATTTAAGAGGCAGTGCAGAAAATAAATGTTTCCTCAATGGCTGAAAGTGGAGAGCAGGTGTGTGCTAGGTAAACCGGATTGCAGCACTGATCAGATTGTACATGCTAAAAGAGAATATGAGAAAATCATATTTGAGAGTGTGTGAATGCACATAAATCTATGTAAGTAAAATGAATTATGTGATTAATCCATTTGTCTTAGATGAACTTATTCTAAAAAGATTTATGGGTGGGTCTGGACATTTTAATGAGAGACTGAATAACATAATCTGGTTTGCATTCTATGCAGGGCTTGTTATAAAAATCAATACGGCGTCTTCTGGCACTCTGCACAAGGTCAAGAAATGGCATGTGTTTGTAATATTCCGCCTCCATTTCTAAGGATTCCAGTTATAAGTACTGCTGCAGCACAAGTGCCAAAATACTGAACACTACTAAAAATTGGATTGATGATGAATCCATTCTGCATACATACATTTAACTATAACTTTGACTTTCTTTTTTGTGTCAGTTATTTGGTCATACATAGAGTACGCCACTGACACTTTGTGAACATTTTCACTGAAGACATCAAGAAACATTATCTAAATCATTCGTTATTATTAGCTATCTCAAGGCCTGTTCACACCAAGGACGATAACTATAAAGATAACTATATTAGCATTCACACCAGTGGACGATAACATCTGTTTATTCTAAGCCCACACATGTCTGCCACTTTAAATTCTTGAGCTCGTTATAGCAGGATTGATTCTGATTGGGTGTCAGTGTTTTTATCGTTCATCAGCTGGAAAAAAAAACAATATTGTTTCTATATGCCTTTCGTTATAGCTGTGGTGTGGACTCTGCTTTTCTTTAATATTGAGAACGAATTTTAGAACTATATCTTTAGCGTTATCTTTATATTTATCGTCCTTGGTGTGAACAGGTCTTTAACACCTTAAATTTCCATATATATATATATATATATATATATATATTTATATTTGATTAAATGAAAAGTAGTTCTGGTCCTTGAATCCGATTGGTTGAGCAGCATTCCAATAGTGCTGATATAACAGTTCAAAAGCACTGGGACTTTTATCTGTTTGTATTTAAAAGTCTGTGTTAGTGGTGGGGATTTTACTGACTCTTTCTGCAGGTTCAATCGTTACGCCAGTAGGTGGCGTAACGATTGTTCAGTGAGTCATTGACTCGACCGATTCGTTCAAACACACTGATTCATTCAGAACGTGCAAAACGTGCATTTTTTGTGTTCGTTTTATCCTGTCTATCTACTGCTTTTTTCATGTTTCATCTCCACCAATGGAAATAATTCCAACAGAAGCCAAAGCATCAAGCTTTGTGTGTCAGAAAGCCACACAGAGACCAAAAAAACAGAATAGCTTAGTGAGGGCTCGATGTTTTATCTTAAATTGAGGACATACCAGCAAATAGAGCGCACAAAGCAGATTTTCTTGACATGGAGCTCGTTTCCAGGTGGCAATGATGACACAGTTTCTCGGGATGCCCTAGAAAACAGTGTAGGATAACATGAAACACACCCACGCATGTATACAGGACGCTTCCGGTGTCCGGTGTGGAGAATGTAGTGCATTAGTGCGCGCTTGCGTGTGTGTTTGTGGGCGCGAGGCAGACTGAGCGCACATCCAGAGCTCGCGAGGCGAGCGCGCAACCTGTCCGCACAGCGCGCGAGGAGGAGAGAGCCGGTGCCGAAAATACTCTTATTATTATTCTATGAAAACGGACCTTTTCAGGCACAGCACGTTCTTGAAGGATATATTATACTTGAATTTTCTTCTTTGTGCGCGCAAGGTGTCTGTAGAAGAAATATCGGGATTTGAGGCAGGAGCTGCTGAACTGAGGAGGATTTTATCCTGTTTCACTTCTGAGGAGAAAATAGTCTCAGCTGGTGCCAACGACCAGAGAAAATACAGAAACGACACTAACAGATGAGGAGCTGAAGAGTAAGTTGAGTTTTTAACATTTCTGTTACCGTTCAGATGTGTTGTGATGTTGTTTTAATTTATTTGGGAAGCGCAGTTGTTCTTCGACCTTTCACTTAATTGACATTCATTGGAAGATAATTTGGCTGTTATTTGTATTCTCTCTCTCTCTCCCTATTTTATTTAAAGATATCATTCGATTAATATTTGATTAACATATCATATTAAAATATAGTTTGGTAGCTTGTCAGTGGCTTGTTCTATGTAAATGAGCTCGTCTCTTGGTCGCATATCAGCACCGGGTGGCTTTTTTTCAGATCTTTAACGTTAAGATGTCGATATATTTGTTATTAAAATGTTTAAATCAGTTCGGAGACGTTGACGTCCTGTGACCTATTATAAAACGCGAATCTTAATGCTGTGTGAAACACAAATGAAGTGCGTGTGATTATTCTGATGGGTTGCACACACTTATTCGTATTGCCATTATAAATAAGTATATGAAAGTGCATGTGTGTAACATGGACACGGTCATGTAAAATGTTGCCATGGCTTGTTGTTTATGTGATGAGCTGTCAGTTTAGGAGTCTGGATGAGAGAAACTGGAGGAAACCCGAAGGCTGCAGCACTGAGTCATGGGCAGGTCCGCGCGCTCCATCTCTCCGTCTCAAATCGCATCTTCTGTTCAGTTCGCAAATGACATTTTCATGTCAAAGAAAGATAGTTTTCGGAGTATGGCCGTTATGTTAATGCTAATTTTAGTGGACTAATAATTGGGAGGAAATGCATATGCACAACCCCAATCTGCTGCGACATATAGCCTACTATAAAACAAACCTGTGCAAGTAGACACAGGAGACGCCACCACATCAAAAGAAGACACGGTGGCTAATTATCTGTATGCACTAAACTAGTTTAAACCCCGATTTGGGCTGAAAAGAAATGATCAGGATGGAAGATTAGGTTTGAATTTATTGTGTTTATTATTTTCTCATTCAGATTTTTTTGTTGTTGTTGTGCAATTCAGAGAAGTGAAATGTGCTTCATTTTAAATACGCAGCAGCAGTACACTGTTGATGTCCTATGTATGCATTTTAGTGCCAAACATGTATCTATATATCTATAATAGATAGCCGAAGGTATATATTGAAATATGTCGATTTATTCTTGTAAATACTTGAGAGAGAGAGAGAGAGATAGAGAGAGAGATAAATGCAGAAATTATCCTGTCCAAAGCTTTTTTCTCTCCTGATCTGCAGATGTTTCTCCAGTGTTTTTGGCTTGAAGGTTTGGCTCTAACACCATAACACTGTACACATACTAAAGCCATTACAGAAGAGGAGAGGTTGTCTCATCCATTTCAAATCTGCCATTAATTGCTGAATTAAATGCCTTTCTGTTATGTGAAATATAAAATTGTGCAGTTGTTACAAACTCTTTCTTCCAGAGTTGACCCCTAAAACTGGCCTTTGTTGATGTATCCCAAATGCAGTCACAGTAACTGAGTCATATTAAACCAGTGCATTAAATGTCACCACATGAATCACATTTATAAGTTACCTTCAAAACCTTTTTTAACAATGGTGTTTCCTGTTTGCTTCACAAAAAGTAGGAGATATATCCAGCTGCAGACCCGCAGCACCAGCAGTTTCAGAACCGCAGCCACAGAACCGCTGCCACAGAACCGGAAGTGAGGGGCGGAGCTTACATTTTTAAAAAGAGTAGAGCCACCTTACGGTTTTTAAGGGGTCATTTGCTTTTATTACACACGATACGTCATACTTTATGTATGCATTTTATAATGACATATTAAGCATTTTATAAACATTATATACATCTTGTGTAATTTAGTTGTAGACCTATACAGTTATTAGTTGTAGACCTATACAGTTATTCGTTTCATCGTATTATGCGAGTAATTTCCTGTTTGTGATATTAAAAATAATGTTTGAAACTTCTGGGCATTTTATATGAAATATACTTTAATCACAAGATTCAAAATAAATGTTTACTCCAAAGTCAAAAACACGTGCATCATAAATTTTTCTATATGAAAACTAAAACATTTCAATAAAACACACACACACACACAAACAGCAGCATAATTTTAAAAGTAACAATCAAAATCTACACAATAATTAAATTGAAGTTTATAAAATGAACAATTCACCATTACGGGTTCTGAAACTGCTGGTGCTGCGGGTCTGCAGCTGGATACTATTGAAAAGTAGACTTGTTCTCCCAATCCAACCTTGATTTTCTTTAACTTTTTGGGATTAAATAGGCCTTCTCCTAAATGAATTTGTGAAATATGTGAATTTGTCTCTTAAATGTAGGATTCCCTTTCAGTATCGGTGTTTATTGTTGATGTGCACCAGGCCTGGACATCTGTATCTGTTTTAAACCTATGGCCTAAGCTGATGATTTCCAATTCTGGGTGGAGATGTGGAGGCCGCAGCAAATGCAGAGAAAACAGCTTCAGCTAATTAGATGTTGGAGAGCTGCTCTTATACTCTATCCAAACAGCATTTCTCTCTTGCTCTCTCTCTTTTAGCAGCTCTGCCCATGCTCATTCAGGCTCCCCATGCTGATAAATGATGTGTAATTTCAGTAATGAGTGGGAGTGTAAACATATGTGGAGAGAGGTAGTTTTTCCCCCACCTTTATTCTATGATGTACCACAGTTTCTCCATGCCATGACAGGGTGATGCAGCAGGTAAACCACCTCACAGTAATGGCAAGTGCAGCTACGCATTGAACATCTATCTCTCTAGTAACGAAGGTGTCTGAAATACAACTTGGATGACATATTGTGTGGTCAGTGTTTGTGCAGATTGAAAACGTGAGTGATGCGGTCACCGGCTTACACATCTCGCGCTCTGTATTTCCTGAGAACCGTTTTGCGCACCACATGTTATTTGCATGTAAACTGCATCACATGGAATAGCGGTTCATGGGGAAAGGGCTAGAAGACCCTTAGTGCTTTGTATAGCGCGTGGATTGACCAATCTGCAGACCAGTCGTGGCGCCTACATTTCATTCCCGCCAGTGCACTATAACAGAGCGGCCAGGGTTTTCAATTACCCTTGCTTTTGTTTGTTGTTCGACCAGAGTCTGGAAAGCAGTCCTTTTGTTTTATCCCAGCATAGATCAAGGGCCAGACTCAATCAGCAGGACTTATAGACCGGGACAATAGTCACAAGCTGCTACAAAACAAGCAGAGGACAGCAATCTGTAACAAGTAAATTGGTCTGTAATATATGGGCCATTCCTATCTTAGGTCTGTTTCACAGTGTATTAGTGAAGAAGCAACATTACTGTAATTGAGCCATTAGTTATGTTTACATGCACTTATTTTCTTCAGGTGGAATGAATCCAATCTGATTTCAGATTCTGAGACTTTTGTTTATATGAACGCTAAATGCTGCAATCCGATTAGTTTACATGTGCATTACATGTATTCCAAACAAAAGTTGTTTTTTTTTTGCATCAAAACTGGAGAAAGCACCAGAATAATACCACCAGATGCAGTTGTAGTTTTAGCCTTGTTGATATATCTAAAACGGCACCTGACATTTATGTTATAAGAGCTTTTTTGGCAAATATTTAGTAAATATTCAATCTCATCTGACCAGTTTGAAACACAAGACATAAATAAACACCCACGTTCGTATGATGTAAAGTGTATGTAGGCCGAAACGTTTACATCACGGCACTGCGCATGTGTGCAAGATATTTTTGAAACCGATGAATGAGAAAATAGTCCGATTCAAGCATTTACATGCTTAATTTTTTCCCTGTTTATTATTTCAGGTCTACACCACCCATTTCAATCTGATAGAAATTTAATTTCGATCGAGCTCAATTAGATGTTTACATGAAGGCTTTTCAGTCCAATTGAGCCATCAATCCTATTATAAACAGATTATTTGTGTGCTGTAGATGTAGCTATTGAGAATTATTACAACATTCAACACATTAACCAGAACTGTTTTTGTCTTTGTTAAAGTTCTGCTTTTAACATTTTAAACTCTGACCCATGTATTGCTGCACTGACAGTATTACAGTACCATTTCAGTGACTGCTAGGGAATTTCTAGCTGTTCACTCAGTTGAAAGGAAAAACAATGATAGATCGCTTGCGGTTGTCACAATTAACAATAACACAAAACATACAGACAGTTTGGCAAGCTGCGTAGAGGCCAGTGCTAAAGCACATCAGAAAATAATACACAGTAAACAAACTGGTTTTGATACAACACAGCTCTGTAATTTTGGACACTAGCAAGCTGTGAGTAATAAGCTTTCACACTGGAATCTGGGATAAAAATCCTTTTATCAGTTTTGTTTTGTATAATTTTCACTGGCAAACATAATACTTAACAAGACCTATAATGTGTTTTGCTTTAATGCCTGCAGTGGTGGTAAATGTGACTTTAGTATGTCTGTGTGGACAAATAGACTTGTTTAGTTGAATTTACGTGTTTTATTAAAGCTTATTAATGATTTAGTGAAATAGGTATTTGTGAAGACTACAGATTCATTTTCATTGGTTTTTAAGAGTAAAGCATGTCTTGTGTACCCAGTTAGCATTTATTAGGTTATCAGCAGACTCTAAGATGATCATAAGACATGTAATATTTGTGTAATATTTTTAAGAACACATCTGCTCTGCGTAATAGTGTTAGTTTTGTCAGCAATTTTTAATTTAGTCTTAGTCTTTTAAATTAGTTTTAGACTTAGTCCTGTGTCAAATGTACTTTTAGTTATTATCATATTTAGTCAACCTTGTCCTGTTTTTGTTTAGTCAAGTTTTAGTCGAGTAACTCCCGGTTTCACAGACAAGTCTTAAGCCTAGTCCCAGACTAAAATGCATGTCTGAGCTGTTTTAACTGAAAGAAACTTGCACTGACTTATTTTAAAATATATCAGTGCCATTGTTTTGTCTCGAGATGCACACCAGTAATGTTTTTTTCTAAGGAACATTTATAAAAGATACTTAAATGTTCTAATTGAACTGTA